CTCTCTCATCAAGCCGGCTGCTAAGTAGCTGTAGGAATGAAAATCACCTGACCTCTAAGGGACCCATTGTCTCCTTCTGTAGAATTGCAGGGCTGGACCGGGAGATGTGTCAGGTCCCTTCACAACTATCACATGTAAGGGTTTTAAGATAACCCTTATTTTTATTCTGGCTGCTGTCTTCTATATTTTCCCTCACAAACAGTTAGCAAAAATTAGAAAGTTTTATTGCACTGTATTACTTGCAAAGGTCACCATTGAGTTGTGCTTTGCATTCTTTGAGCCAACATGATAGCTATTTTTTTAATGTCAATTTCCACATTCTTCCCCCATAATACTTAGAGTAATGTATCAGATTTGTATTTTCCTTTAATTTTAAGAATTCTTAGGAATACTGAGTCTGTGGGGTTAGTTGTCTGTTGCCCAAATGAAAATATAGTTCCTATTATTTCACATTTTTCAGAGAAGCTGTAATATTCTTAAATAGAGGGTGATCCTCTAATTGGAGCCAATCTCATACGCTGCAGCCCTGCTAAGTGGCAATGGCTGGTAATGGTTTCAAAGAGCATTTAACAGGGAAAAAATTCTTTCCCTTCTCCAAATAGAATTTGAGTCAGCTGCTTCCTGTTTATTCCCATTATCCACATCTTTCTTCAGAACTTCATGAACTCTTGTCTGGACTACTATACTAATCTACCCTCTGGTGTTCCACCTCCAGCCTTTCCACTCTGTAATTCCAATACAGTCCTGCTAAAGCAATGTCCACAAATCAACCAAGTGCATGCCACTTCCACTCAAAATCCTGCCAGGGGCCCTTATTCAACAGCTTCACCTGTGGAGTCAGGTCCCAACTATTTGCCTTCACCATGTATTTTCTACACCTTCCACATCTGTGACTCTGTTTATATATCTCTTCTACCTGGTATGCCTTCTTCTATAAAACCCTACTCATTCTTCAAGACCAGTTGTAAATGCCAACTCTTCCAGCAAGAGGTTGAACTCATATAACACCTTGCTTTTTGATTCTCTTCTCTACTCAACACCTCCTGTCCTGTATTATAATTTCTGCATATGCTTGCCCCCACTGTCTACTATACAGTTCTTGGGAATCTGTAGTATGTCTTAATTATCTTTGTAGCTCTTACAGTGCTTTTTCAGTATCTGTTTCCATATCTGTTAAAGAAATGAGTGAATGTATAATATAGCTTCAGTATTATTCTATGGATCAAGATGCTCAGAAACTGCAGAAGTTTAAAAATTATTCATTAGTCTTATCTAGTATTTATTTTGGGCAAATGGCTTAATCTCTGTGATCCAATATTCTCTTATATATTTTGAGGGAGAGGATAAGTGATGTCTAGTAATTCTTTTTACTCCCTTAATGACTACAAAGCACTATGCTATATAAATGCTGGAGAAGAGGGAAATCTTGTCTTTCTGGATCAAGGTAAATATTGTCATAGGATAAGTGTGTTTCAGATTCAACTACTGTGTTGTTAAGAAAATTCTGTGTATGAATTCAGAATATACAAAGATGATATAATTTATATTTAAGATTCTAAAGATGCAACAAAATTAAGTTGGCTTCACAATTTATGACTACACAGGGTTAATATTTTCAAAAGGAAAAGTAGAATTTCTTCCTTAAGATACCTTAGACACCATCTTAGGAATGCTCCCACTATTGTCTATCATGGTTTGGGGACCATCAAAGCTGTCCTGTGCAAGACACAGTGTACATTAATTATTTTATTAAACCATGAAAGTGAAAAAGTAAGAAAATCCATAATCATTATAGAATTTCTGAACTTTGGGCACACACCACATTGATTTTCTGTGCCTCATGAGATTGAACGCAATGGTTAGGAATCTTCAGCTACAGTGCATGAACCCTTTTAGGACGGTAGGTTGCTCTATCAGCACAATATTGTAATAATCATAAGAACTTGAAAAGACCAAGTTTGAGAAAACTCGTTCCATTATAAAAAAAATTAGCTTTAATTGATCTGTAATATTACAAAAACTTTTTAGACTAGTAGAACATTAAAAGATCTTAGTCTTACATAATTTTCAATATTAATTGAAATTCAATTCCAGTCCATTGCCAGAAAATATAACTTTTAAGTAATTTTGACTAACTATAAATATAGCAATTTAATTCAATAAGACTTTAAAATATTGCTTGTGAAATCTATCTTAACTTGAGAAGAATTCTCCCATGTTTGTCCGCCAGTACTAATTTAAGAAAAGCAGGGTTAAAATTCTCTAAGGAATATTTTCTACAATATTCTTTTCTTTGGGCACCTATAAATCCTTCCACTGAGGTCATGGAAAATGTATGTCTATAGAGAAATTAAAATTAGTAGACAATATCCGTTATATGCATTTGAGAGCCTTATTTTGCCATAATATTCACTACTTGCTTAACATTCCTGATACTGTTTCATGCCAGGAGTTAGTTCATCACTGACAAAATCAATGGAAGTTTGAATGTGTTCTTAACCCCCAGGTTATATACGTGCATGCTATTCTCTTGTCTTTAAGTATCTTAAAAGTTATAAGCACATAGCTTAGATTACACCATTCAGATGGTCTCAGTTGAAACAAATGTGAGGATTGTCTCTCTGTTTATCCGTGGAATTACCTCTCTGATTTTCTTATGGAATATAACACAGCCTTACTGCAGATCATGATTCTGTTCGCAGAGTGATTATTTACAGAATTACTCATTGTAAAGCAGGAGTATAATAACAAACCGAGAAACCAGGTTTTGCACGGATAGTCTTTACATCACTTTGGAAAAGCTCATGTGTGACTTTCTTTACAAAATTTAAATACATTCATAATTTAGGAAAAATTATCCCCATGGTTCCTGAAGAGAGAGCAGACATTGCCAGACTGTGGAAAAGCATGTATAATCTGATAACAAAGACTGTTGCCCACAACATTCTCCTATGCTTTTACTAAAGCTTTCACTAGCTTTTGCCGTGTACCTTACGTCACGGGTACCTGTAATTTAAACATGCAAACACCAGATCAGAAACATCAAGGTCTAGTGCAGTGGTCTCCAGAGTGTGGCATGAGCACAAGATGGCATTGTACAAGATGGTTTTAGGAGGTACACCAACTAACACTTTGTATTTTAATAAACACATATTTATTTTATGTAAAAAGAAAATCTGATCCAAGGAAGAACTATAGAGTAATGAGTTCAATTTGCTAGTTGTATTTTTTTCTAATACACTTTAAATTTAAGTTTAAAAAGTGTGTGCATTTAAAGAAAATATTAAGTAAATACAGGGTAGGTGCTTCTGACAAAAGTCCTGATGGAGGCTGGGGACTCCCTAAGTGGAAAAATGAGGTGGAAAGATTGGGGTCAGGTAACAGTGGTTCTGATTCTGGTCTGTCACTAGCTGGCTGTACCACCTTAGCCAGGGCGGACCTCTTGGGGCATCTATAGTCCTTATTTGTAAAGAGATTGTTGGGGTGACCTCTAAGGTCCACCTCAGCACCACCACCCTATGATGTTCTGTTGTCTGTCAAATGCCCTTATAAGAAACACCAATCTCTGTAAAACAAAAGTAACCATTCTCAGCCTTAACACAAGATGTGCTCACTTATACTAGTCAGGGAAATCAGAGGACCTAACGTGGAATTCTTTTGAGATTAAAACACTCTATTGGTAGATTAGACTAATCCTTTGAAAAACTGGAGATAAGCTTGATTTTGCTTAGTAACTGTACGTTTTTTGCACATGGGAGGGATTCCAAGTGCCTTTGGCTTCTCTCACCAATATGATAGCTAGTAGCAGAAGGTTCTACAGGCCATATTTCTCACGTGTTAAGATCATTCTATCTGGGAGTGAGAAGCCTGGATGTCCATGTTGCAGTCAGATGAAGGATTTCAGTAGTCTTGCAAGAAAAATACACTTCTATTAGAAGGGGAAAAAGAAAGATGAACACTAGCTTAAGGTAAAGAGTTGTGTTTTAAGAAACAGGAGGGGCCTGAAGCTTGAGGATAACTTAAAATAGCTGGTCTGGCTTCTGGTTTTAATTTTCCACTCTGAAAATAGATAACATGTCAACCAGTTACCCATTTTCAGGGGTAATGAAATTTGAACCCCAAATTAGTGCTGTGTGCCCCTACTAAACTGTCTTAAGTTAGTTCTCTTCCAATGGCTTGAGAATACCTGTTCAAATCAAATCCTAACTCTGAGCATCAAAAAGCATTCAATGTAGAAAATCTCTACCAAGTAATATTTTCATGGCCAGGCTCTTTCTTTTCTAAAATAATCTCCGCTGTTTGAGAAGTGAACCACTTTCCCTTGAACTGGAGTTGCTGTCCCTTTTTCTGGAAGGTCCCCACCCTCACAGGGAAGACTAGCTTCCTGAAGGTCACCTATCATTGCTTCTGACTTAGCCTAAAAAGAAGTTAGACTAACCAATCAGAGTGAAAAAGAGAAGCTTTTGATGATGATGATGAACTCTGTGAATACCTGAACTAAGCATTTTGGAAATTATTGAATTAAAGACTAAAGTGTTTTTATTTTCTATTTGGAATACTAATTACATCTATTTAACCTATTCAGCTCAACAGACAAATGAACAAGCACCAACAAAACCAATACAATCTATTTTTTGTGGAAATATATTTGCTTGTAATAGTGCAAAAATATTAGAAAAGATGCTATGGGTGAAAATTTTTACCTGTGATCTCTAAAAAGGCATATTCATAGAGCACATCTAAAAACACAACACGTAAATATAGAAATCAGCCCTCTGGAATACCAACAGTTTCATTATCTGTTGCAATTTCAAAGGCCTCTTGGAAAATGTGGCTTTACAATTTCCTAGCTTTTCCAATTCTCTTGTTAAAACTATCTATAAACGTGCATCCTTGATCTGTGATGATAATTTGATCTTTGTCGCCCTCGGTTCCCGTGAGTCTCCAGCACTCTGAGAAAGACCAGGCCCACTGTGTGGAGGTGCTCCCGACTCTGGAGCAATCACTGCTGACTCAGCCTCCTCTGCAGAATGGCAGCCAGTCTTTGTCTGGCCTCATTTACTGAAGACTCTCGACCCCTGCGAGGATGTGGTTGGGGGAGAGTGGGCAAAGCTGAGCTGCTGCCCCTCCTGGGCTGAGCTGAGGTTGGGGAAGCGGTAGGTTTTGACACTCCGTGCAGGCTGGGGATTTTGATTCTTTTCTCTGAGTTCGGTCTTGCAAGGCTGCTCTCTCTCTGATGACTGGCCACCACAGCAGAGGAGGTGAGGCTGCCCCGGCTGAGGGAACACGGTGACAAGGGCAAACTTCCACTGAGCTTCCTGAGCTCCAGGAGCTGCTCTCTGGCTTGACTCAAAGCCTCCGTCAGTTCAAAGCGCTCTTCACACTCTCTACGCACTGTTTCCTGGAGAAAAGTGTTCTGAAATGAGAAAAAGGGGAAAAAAGCATCCCTAGCTTTAAACAGTGTACACGTGGATAGTTATTGGCAATATAAGCTGAGAACTGAACTGGTCATCAGAGGTCTGTGTTCTCTGATGATCTTGGTGGATACTCGACCACGTGGGACAGACGAGGCAAAAATGCAAAATGATTTGTGAAGCTGGAAAGAACTTTAAGAGAACATTTGATTCAACTCTCACAGTTTGCAGAAGAGGAACCAAGAGCCAGGGTCCCTCAGATGGTAGTGGTGGGGCTGGAGCTGGAACCCAGAACCTCTAGTGCCTGCTTCAGCCCGGTTTCAACTTCTCTATGCCTTGTGCCTCCGACAGTGTGTCCAGCATGTGCGATGTCTGGTAGTTAATATCTGGAGTGTCATGAAGTGTGTTACTTTACAATAAAGGTAAACTGCAATGTATATGACAAACAGATAAAACTGCCTGAATTATAAGATTGAAGGAATAAAATATATCAGCTATAGCGTTTAAACAGTAAGATCAGTATGATGCTTTCTCGCTAGAACTTAAATATACCCATCATTTGCTATTCTGTAAGATGCATAAGAACAACATCTTCTGCTTTTAACTCCACTCAGCAATCGTTTATCAAGTTACTAGAAGCTGTAGTGGATACAGTTCCTGCTCTGAAGAAGTTTGCTGTCTCAGAAGTTTGAGCAGAGCCACTTTTTATGTCGCCAACAGAATTTGGAGCCAAGGGCGGAAGCTATGGGATTTAAAATAAAGAAGAACTGTTTTAATAGCCAGAGCTGTCCAGAGGACACTCTGAGGGGTTGAATCTCACTTGACTGGAATGTATTGGAGCACATTTAAGCTTTAAATATGTGACTGGACTGGAGATCATTAAGGCCCCTTCAAATTCTGAGACTCTATGGTTCTAATTCAAGAGTTACCCATCTTCCATCTATGGAACTCATGAAAATACTTCAAGGCCCATGGTCAGAATTAGGTCTTGGAACTCCCTAATGTCCTGACATTCATGTCTACAGGATGTCAAAAAAGAGGTTGAAAAGTAAACAATTCAAAATGGTATCTGAATAAGTGAACACACTTAAAATGATTGTGCTATAGGATTCTTCAACTAAAAATGAGTTTCCATTAGGTTAGCTTGTTTGAAAAACAGCCAAGGCATTCCCAAGTGCGACTCTCAGGGGAATGCGTCCTCTTAAGGGGTTACTGACTAAGCTGCTGTCAGTGGAACCAAATAACAAAGCATCAGGGAAAGTAGCATCTTCCGGTATTTGAGTTTCTTGTGATTATGGTCAGAACTCTATTCAGTTCCAAATTTGGTAACCAAAATTGAAGAATATGGAGCAGTTCCAGATCAACAGTTGCACAGTAATTTTCCATAAAATCAGCAGCATGTCTGGGTCAAACAAAGCCTCATCATTTACATATATTATTACCATACATATGTGATCCATATATCCACATATTTTTTAAATCATGGGGGTTAATTACTTGCTTCCAGTTATCTTTTTTTTGGAGTAAAAGGGGACCAAGGACAATGTTTGTGGCTTTATCATGTGGTCTCATTAACTCTACCAAAAATACTTGTTGCAAGGGCAGGGGAGGGAGGGCTAGAGAAGACTGCTAAGGTGCTACATTAGCTGTCATCTCAGTTCCTTCTCCCAACAACTACATTTGAAAGACAGACATTGAAGCTCAGACTGGTTATGTAACTTGCTGAGAGTAACCCACCTCTGAAGTGGTGGGGCCCTGCCTGCCTCCAGAGCCCAGCTCACGCTGCCTATCCCTACGGGTAATTGTCTAATTCATCACATCAGGCACGCAGGGGCCATTTTGTTCCCAGACACTGAATCAATAAAAAACAGTAAGACATTTCTCCTAGTTTTGTCCAAATTTTCTTAACTTAATCATCTAAACTCTTTTTTATTTTATTTTTTTATTGTGGTAACATTGGTTTATAACATTGTATAAATTTCAGGTGTACATCATTATACTTCTATTTCTTCATAGATTATATCACATTCACCACCCAAATACTAATTACAATCCATCACCACGCACCTGTGCCTAATCATCCCTTTCGCCCTCCTCCCCGCTCTTCTCCTCTGGTAACCAGAAATCCAATCTCTGTCTCTGTGTGTTCGTTTGTTGTTGTTTTTATCTTCTACTTATGAGTGAGACCATATGGTATTTGACCTTCTCCCTCTGACTTATTTCACTTAGCATAATACCCTCAATGTCTATCCATATTTCCACAAATTGCTGGATTTCATCATTTCTTATGACTGAGTAGTATTCCATTGTGTATATATACCACCTTCTTCGTCCATTCGTCCCTTGATGGGCACTTAGGTTGCTTCCAAGTCTTGGCTATTGTGAATAATGCTGCAATGAACACAGGGGTGCATGTATCTTTACATAAACTTTCTTTGAAAAGGAAAAAACATCAGTGCATTATGCTTCCTGTCTACTAGTAGAATAAGGTGGCAAAATGTGTTGAAGTGATTAGAGTTAAGAGGCTTTCAATAAATTAGTTTAAAAATTCCCTTGATTAACAAAGCTATGAGAAAGAGTTAATTTTATTTGAATATATAAAAGAAAAAATGGATAGCAGTTAACAATGAGGTCAATAAATTGGTGACATAAATAATAGGAGCACCAATATGGAAGGATAAAGTGCTGGTGATGTGATGACAAGAGCTCTCATTGAAAGAAAAATAAAATTCAGTCCATTTACTAAAATTAAATTCAAGTCTTAGAGGAAAGGATTAGTGCTCCAAGGAAAACATCCATAAAGCAAGTCACTAAAAAGCTATTTCAAGCAAGTGACACTCCGCTAGAGGAGGAAATGAAAAAGTGTAGTGAACCCAAAGATGCCCTTATACAAGGACAATGGAGCAAAGTGCTGCCGACTCCAGGCAGAACCTTGAAAGGGCTGCTGACCATCTTGGTCTGGGGCCCATTGTTCTGGAACTCATCCTTCTTCAAGGCTATTAGCTTCCAGAAGGAAGGACTAATTCTCTTTCTTCTATTATTTCCCAAACCAAGAGGACCTCTGAACTGAAAACAGGATCCAAAGTTGGGAGGTCTGTTTCTGTTTGTGTCACAAGCACTGTGAAATCTCAGGTGAATCTACAATATCTGCATGTCCTCTGCCCCATGACCTCCTTCTTTAAAACTGAGATTATAACTCAGTTTTGTGCAACAGGCAGTTCAGATGTTATAATCTCTTCAATCATGGAGTAAAAACATGGAGATGGACACATCAAGTTGAGGGGATTGCTATTTCAGGGTGGAGTGTGTGTGACAGGGCATGACAGGAGCACACGTGGATGTGGCCAGAGTCAGGAAGACACATTAGCGGAAAATTCCATCATGTGGAAAAGAATCATTCACCCGTGGCTAGATTGCTTTCAACAATTTAGGCAAAATGTTTGTCTTTTTGAAAGTTTGTGTTGTTGCAGAATTTTAATATGTGTTTTTATTGAAGAACATGGAAAAATGCGTAAGGTGGAATATGTTCAGTAAGGTTGAAAATCATGGGCAAACATGAGAATAATCAGTGAAGCCATAGCATTCTACATGTTTTAGCCCTATTTTATCTTTGGCCGTCTTTTAGCATGGTAAAATAGTATCACCGGACTGCAGCTAAACTGCAAGTCAAAATGGAAAGGGAGGCATGAGCCAGGCAAAGAGGGGCAGCGGGGCTTTCCAGGCAGAGTGGGCAGGCAGAGAGGGAGGGGCACGTCTCGGGATGACTCAAGCACAGACTGCACAAGGGGAGGGGAGACCGGGACCGAGGCGGGTAGGAGTGAGCAGGGTCAGACCAAGGACAACTTTGGTAACCTGCTGACACTAGAGTTTTAACTGACTTCTGAGAGCCATATGGAGTCAGTGAAAGGTTTATTTCAAGGAGGGGGCTGGCATGGTCAAATTCTCATTAAAGGAAGATCCCTTCGCCAACTGTGGAAAATGGCCCCAAGCAGGGCGAGGCGGGAGGCAGGAAGGATAGGAGGAGGCCAGAGTTTTCACTGAGGAGATTCCTCCTCCGAGTGCCCCTTGGCTAGGGTGGTCTAGGGGAGGGAGAACTAGTGCTCCTCAACCTCTACAGCCTGTGGCAGAGCACTGTCTATAGAGGTGTCTATAGCAGTTTCAGATGAAGGCCACTTTAAATGGGCTTAAAATATGGCTTAACTGCACTCCCACTGGGTAAATAAATGTCAAAATGAAAATATAAATTAGCTCACCATCTGTTTGAAACTTCTAATATTAAAAAATGGCCTATTTTCCCCACTCCTTGCAATGTTAAGAGTGGCTTATTTTTATGTTTGTTTTAATTTTTATCCTTAGAGACAGCTGGATTGCTTTCAATTCCAAAAACAGTGGAAGAAGCAAGAGAAGGCTTTGCTGGGTAACTTGATCATTCTGAAGGTGAGGACCCCATTTGTGGTGGCCATCAGCTGTATTTGGCATAAGTGGGGGGCGCACGCCAGGAAAGCAAGTCCTCCGTGAAGAATAAGCACAGATGGGTGTCTTTGTTCATGCTTTACGCCCAGTGAGGTTGGAACCAGTCATGGAATGATCAGATTACAGTTTCCACCCTCCCAAACTAGATATGTCCCAGGGTGAAGGGAGGGCTGGCCAACTGGGTGGGGAGCTGAGGTGAAAGGAAACTCTGTGGAAAGGTGTGGAAACTAGAAAGATGAGTAAGAGTCAGCAGAGGACGTGCCCAAACTTCCATTTAAGGCTTCTGTTCAACTAATCTGATCAGCCCAAAATACTGCAGGAAAAGGGTGGAAACAGCCCTTTAGTAAGGCAGGAATGAGAAGCCGAATAAATTTCCAGGAAAGAAGTAAGATGGACATCAGGCAGGTTGTTCTTAAAATTGTATTTCTATGCTCGCAAACATAATGGACACTGTAAGGGGACGGCGGCAGACGTGTCAAAACAGAAGTAGAGACAGAGGGTGCTACCCCTTTGGACTGCCGGGTTTCAA